AAAGAGTGAGAACGAGAAAACTGAAAATACTAAGTTCAGGAACCCAAAGTGACAAAAATCAAGCACATCAGAAATCCACTGACTTGTTACTGAAGCTGTTGCAGGATGAGGTATTTCTAACCCAAAAGGATTCTTCACTTGTCTCATGCGCTTTTTCAGTACTCTCCTGCTGGATTCTGTTTCTTCCGAGTTTCTCAGAATAACCGGAACACCCAAACCAAACCTATAAGAAATGGAACAAGAAGAACAAGGGGGTTAAGCATTAGTGTTGACGTGTTTCAGCTTTTCTTCAGCTCTAAGTAGCAAGCAGCACAACAAGTAGAGTTAGCCTGGCTTTGCAGAATATCTGCTAGGACGTATGCATAATATAGCCTGCCGACCTGACTCCGATCAGCTTTTCACGGCGGAAGGCAGGAATCTTCACAGCGATACAGAAAATCTAAAAAGGGGGAATACTTCACCCCTGTGTTTCCAGAAAGAGAAAATGAATGAGAACGGTCAGTGCCCTCTAGTGGCAAACGGTTAGCCAGACCTTTCTCCCAGTTGACGTTCTTGTACATCCTGTCACAGAGCCCCCCAAAATCGCTGCTTGCAAAGATGGAACAGCCTTAATGGACTGAGACCTTAAAGTAAATCATTCAGCCCTGAGATATTTCTAACTACATCCAGGAAGATGTTTTTATGGGAGAGTAACATCTCAACTTCCCATGTTAACCTCAACAACAATATGCTGATCTTCAATCAGAGGCTGTAAAGCCTCTCCCTGCTTTGAGCCAGAAACCAAATGCAAGCTACTCAAGACTCTGAATCAAAGCTGAGACTCTAAGATTCCTTCAAAGTCAAAACTAGCACGCTAGCCCAAGGGATTTTCTGACCCTAAAAGGCTAACGAAGCAAAGGTTTAAAAAGTTTAAACACCCTATAACTCTATAAATCAAAATAAAAATCAAAGAAAGCAAGGAACAGTACTTTGGGATTATTTCTGACATCATTTAAAAACCCCAAGATGTTCATACTGCCTGGGGCTTTTAAAAGAACAATTATGGACAACCAGTATCTACAAAACAAGCTTCACATCCGAATTCCTTTTACACTTGGCTAAAAATAATTCACATTTTAAGGTGATAGCAATAACTTTCAATATTCAAAAGTTGATTAGAAAAACTACCCTAGATAGAAGATAAAGACTGAAGAGATTTTAACTGCATTAATCCAGTCCTATCTCACTAGTAAGGCAACAGGGAAAGGCTGTGGGAGTCTTCTGTTAATGCATTTTACACGATAGTTATTAATTAGCTCAGGCTGTACTTTCCTGAATTTGTGCTTTTGTCACTGCCACCTGTACTGTTGATGTGATGGCCTGTTTTAATGGCTTTGAATTTTGGTTTATGCAGTCATCAGCATATTAGATGCTGGAAAACTCTGAGTAGCACAAAGCACCGGCTCTTCCCTGCATCAATTGTTTCCATTTAGTACACTGCAATAGTAGCTGTTACAGGAAGATGGGTCTCATATCAATAACTCAAACTGAAAAGGGCACTATCAACTTCAAGGTAACCAGTTTGAAAATTGCTGAAGTAATTTTGTGCACTATAAGCTCTGAGCCAAACAGACAATTTTGGGGCTTAACTGCTAGTTTTGCCTGGTGTTGAAATCTCTTCCAACTCCTATGTGTCAAATGAAGAAGAAAAGCAGTGCTTTTACTGACATTAGGCTCCATTCTATTGATTCACGTTGGAGAGGTGCCCTTTGTAAGACTAGCAGTCAAAAGTGATTTTCAAGTTGAGGAAACTATTCCACGAAAAAAAAAATCTCATAGCCACTCTCAATATAAACAACCTGTTCCTGGCAGTCTTACAAATACTTGCCTTTACCATTTAATGCTTTGCGTGCCTGAGCATCACAGATACATCAAAGCAGAAAGAGATGGAGCCGAGAGAAAACACTCTATACTCATTACTCCACCTTTGATAAATTCTTTTGGTTTGCTGGACTTTGATGGAGACATTTGCGTTTCTTCAATGAGGTAATACAGGGCGCACAGCCATACTTCGCTTGTGCCCATGGAGGGTGAAATCTCTGCCCGATGCGAGTAAATGCAGCCGCACTGACTTTACGGGGGCTGTAATGAAGTACAACAGTTGAACATCCTACAGAGAAACCAGGTGCAGCAGCTGTTTCGCTTATTCAATATCCAAAACTCAATGAAGCTAATCTCTCCAGCTGCACATAAAGATGCCTCCTGTTTTGTACCATCTGGCTGATTCCAAAGTAAAACCCCTGTTTTTTGGAAACTTTCTTTGCTGGTCAAAAGCAACAGGATAATCACCATGAAAAGCAGCCACAGAAAAAAAAGCCTCAAATCCAGTTTTAGAAGCAGCTGAAAGCAGAAAAGGCTTTCTGTTCAACAATAAGGTACAGTGTTTCTGTTTATTTTAAGGTAGCATTCATTGTATGAAGGATGAATAAGGACACAGTTGTTATTTTAGGATCTAACAGTTGTGGTGGTGCAGCCCCCCCAGGACACGCTGTGATGTCAGGATTGGCCAATGCTGTGTTCCCGTTTGGTTACAAATGCAGCGAGTTTGGACACCTGGTGCTTTCCACGTCCTACTTATGGTACAGTCAGTAGGGATCATAAGGAACTCCCTAACTGTACCTGAAACTCCTGCTGCCTGGGAAACTCCTGCTGCCTGGATCAGGTAGGTACCAGAGTCAGCTGACAAAATCGTGGCCACATACAGGAAAGAACAGCAACCAAAGTCAATTGTCTTGCAATCCTGTCGACAGTGATCCTAAGGGAGATCCAAACCAAGTGTGATGGGTGCACTTTACCCCTTGACCAGCCAGGCAGTGGTTTGGCGCAGGCTCCAGAGGAGGTGAAAGCCTGACCCGCAGCCAGGCCAAGAGCTCCTCAAACTTCCATCTGTTCTGAACACCCACAGCGGAGCAGAGAGACACAGTAAACATTGATGGAGCTGAGTTTGAAACACTGACAGCAGGTGACTTTTCCAACACTCGTTTATCATGGCACAAAGAAAGTAGTGGGTGCAAGGACTCTCATGCCTGCCTTCCCAACACATGGGACTTGACGACAAGTCAACTGCCTTATCCCATAAAGATAAGTCTCGCCGGGACTGCAGCAGGCTGTGGCCCAGTATCTCCGCTGGAGCTGGAACTCCTCTCTGGGTGGATTTTCCAGAGGTACCAATGATAGTCCTTTGGGAAGTGTTGGAGAAAAGTGAATAATTCACTACACTTACTGCAAGCACAGCAGGGAGATATCTTAATAACAACTTACTGCAAAAGCAGTAGGAGAAAAGTCTTGGCCACAGATTAACCTCTCAACGTGCGTGTGTGCATGCCCGTCCATGCGTACAATTTAACCTTTACATTTGTGTGTCTACGTCTGTTTGTGTATACGATTTAATCTCTGTATCTATGTGTGTGTGTGCATGTATTTCTGTGTATGAATTAATTTAGGAAACTCTGACACACCTCACGTGAATCTTGCCATTCTCAAAGCTTCAACCAAGATGTTACGTTGATTATGGTAAATTTTGTTAAACCATCTCGGTAACTGACTAATAGTTAAGCAGTGTTATCCTCTTATTTCCTGCACTCTTACCCTTAGGCATAAACCATCAAAAGTCTGAGGCTAAGTCTAGATGCAGCCACACACAGACTCTTCTCTGAGGAGTTTAGAAAGCAAGGGAGTCTATTCTGAATCTCACAACTCAATGGGAAGGAACCCTTACCCCTTTCATCCCCAATCTCTGCTTAAAAATCACTCTAGCTAAATTCTAATTTGACTTCCCTTTATATATTTCTTCCACATAGTAAGCAATAGAGTGAATCTTGCCATTGAACTCTGTTAAGTCATGCTTTTACAAATTCATACTGAAAAACCCACTTTTGATAAAATCTTTGATGATGATTCTTCAAGTGACCTAAATCTCTCCTCTGTGACAACTGGCACAGCAAGCAGGATTCTAAATCAGGATTCTACAACAATGGATTTAAGTGCTTCTTTAAGTGATTTAAAACACTCATCTGTGACAAAGTGGTGCAGTCAGCAGCATCCTAAATCAGGAATCTGCAACAAACAATTTAAATGGCTTAAAACACTCATCCATGACAAACAACAGACTATAAAGATACAACTCTTATTTTATAATCTAACAGTCTAATCAGCCTAAGTCATCAGCTGGTACAAGGAAAAACTGATTTCTTCAGCACGATGATAGATTAGAAAAGGGAGGAGTTTACAACGGTTTTGTTCATGAGTTAATTTCTCAAAGAGCAGTCCAGACCTGAAACTGCTGCTGAGCCTACAGCTCCTCCTCATATGAGCACTCATCTTCAGCTAAAAAGATGACATGCAGGACTGTATTTGGCTAATCTAAACTCCCCTCATTCCTATGCCCAGAGCATCTGTTGGGCTGGCTCCAGAAACCTATCTGCGCAGTAACCTAGTTAGATTCCCTCAGCAGAGCCACAGGTATCTAGGGCTGGCCATGAAAACAGATGCTCATCAAATCAGTGCATGATTTTGCAAATGAAAACATTACCATTCCTAAGCAGCTGGTGTTTTTGAGGCTGACTGACACCACCAGGAACACATCCATAAAACAAACTGACAATTGACTCTGAAAATGACAGGGGAAACAAAATGTCATTACAGCAGTATATCAAGTGTAACGCACTCATATGACACCATATGCACTCCGAGTAGCAAATAAAGGATCGAGTTGTTTTTAAGAGTAAGTTCAAGAGCACTTAAACTGGAACTGCAGCTCCAGACAGACTGATGCTGCCCGGAGGCTCTTGGTCATACGGCCACGGTACAGCTGAGGTCAAAGGTAGCAGCAAATATCTCTGAGCAGCCACACACTCACATATTTGTATGTGCTGAGCCCCTGTTACTGGAGTAATAGTTCCTTAACAAACTAGTCTGAAGACAGTTTGTATATATTTACATAAACTGCAAAAATATCTAGTGCGGATGCACCTAGAGTCTCTGCTCTTGAAATAAAAATGCATCTAGACAGTCCTCTGCACACCCCGTAGTTCAGAAAGCATCAATGGACATGTGTGCACATGTAAGGATGTTCTTGCACATGTATTTCAGACATTTTAAAGCAGGGGATTGCAAAGCATTTAGTATAAGCGGACACATAATGACTAAATTGATAAAGGATTCCTGTTTTGGGATATA